ACTGTTTCCAACTAACAAAAGCTAATCTTGGACACCATTGTTGGCTAGTAGAGAAACCTTATGATCAATCTCTTCACTTCTCAGATGACTTTCTATACGACTTTAAGTTATATACACGAATAGTTTGGAGGATGACAACAAGCGTAGGTGTTTAGTTATGAGTTTTATTTATCAATATTTCACCGTCAGTGTGTGAATGTGTATGTGTGTTTGAGTAGTGCGGGACACCTCTCCTAGTAGGCGACGATGAGATTTTCTTAGATAATCGTTTTATTTTAAATATCGAAGAAATATAATTCAAACACAGTTAACTAACTGAGTCAATAATTTAGATTATGAGTTTTTGGTTGGAGTTACGATTAATTTCAGTGCAGCTCACTGATGACTTCTGGATGGACATCATTAAATTCTACTGACAATTGGTAGGCGGTGTGGGTACATCATGTGAAGGTGAAGTGGGTAATCATCGACAGACAAACATTTAATTCAATTTTATACTTTCCCGTCGATTGATTGGACGGAAGTGCTTGGTCTCAGGTGGACAAGTTGCCTTCTTGTGCAGATGCTTCAACAACGTCTGCTGGATAACGCTTTGTCGTTTGAAACTATAGGCACTGGGTTCCAGCCTCGGTGGGAACATCATCACTCACTGAGAAATGCAGGTGCATCCAGTGACGAGTTCCAAATAGGACGAAAAGCGCATCTTGGATTCCACTGCTAGTCACCATCCACCAGTCAACTTCTAGATAGACAGACAGGTGGACAGATAGATAGATAGACATAGATGGATTGACAGATACACAGATAAATAGACAGATAGCATTGGCTGGTAAGTTAGAACTCACAGACCATTGAATTCCCTCGCCTCCCTCACCAAATGACTCTATGTTGTCAATAAAACTCCTGACTTCAGTCCAAATTGAAGTCGTGAATGACTACTGACAAGGGGTCGAAGATTAGATCGAAACAGCTAGCAAATATTCCCTGGTTATCAATGACCCTCAAGCTGATTTACATTAGAGACAGTATCCACATTTCAATCAGTCATTCAAAAAGAAATCTCATTAAGCGGTATACTTTGAAACAAAAGCAAAATTTAAATTAATTTATATACACAATGAGTTAATTACTCGTTTTTGCGTGTGTTAGTTGTTGGTTTTCTTCTTACAACCTCTTCAGTACTAGACAGCATTAATTATAGTGTTAATTAAATACCACACTACCCCTCTTCGTGTTTTTATTGATCTAATAATTAATTAGAGCAAAAATGTAATCATACACATGATTGTGGTAATAAAGATGGTGATCTTTGAAAAATCTGCAGAGTTTAACTCATATTTATTGATTAATTATTGAACAAGTGGTGGTCACTATACATTTGGATTATGTTCCGTAAACATTAAGAAATTGATAGTTAGTTAGTTAATTGGTTGGTTAGTTAGTTAGTCAGTTACCTACTTGTTTACTTCGTTACTAAGTTGGATAGTTAATTAGTTAAATAGTAAGTCAGATATCTAGTTGGTTAGTTGCTGAGTTGGCTAGTTAGGCGCTGTATTATGCTCCTGTCCATCCCAAGCAACCTGAAGAGATTCTAACACGCCCTGGATGAAAAACTTCGACCGGAACAAGCTGGATTCAGGAGGAACAAGTCATGCATTGATCAAATCGTGACCCCACGGATCGTTACTGAACATAGCTTGGAATGGCAGTCAGCTCTCTCTAGCTCACTCAACTTCATCGACTTTGAAAAGGCCTTCAGCAGACAACGTCGATCGAGAGGTGATTTGGAAGCAACTTCGCTACTACCAAGGGGTGCCGCCAACAATTATACATCTCATCCAGCAGTTTTGTGACAACGAAGCATGCCAAGTAATCCACAACGGGAAAATCACGGAATACTTCTAAGTGAAGACGGGAGTAAGACGAGGCTGGTTGGCTGGCTGCCTACTATCTCCAATGATTTTCCTGATTCAAGTACATGTATATTTATTGATGATCACGTTTCGAGCACAATTTATTACTCTGCTCATTGTCATCATATCAAGGCACTACTCACACAACTTTCGAACTTCGTTTATATAATTTCATCATTATTTTTCATTGCTTGACTTGATTGGTAGTAGTATTTTCCATATTTCCAGTTTGAGTGATGAGTCATTCCTATTGCACGTGTTGGGTGTAGACTCGATGAACAAGGTCAAAATAAAAATAATGGAGAAACTAATAATGATAACATAAATAAGAGAGAATATAAGACATCTACAGTTATACCATATAAGGAGGGAACATCCGAGACCCTCCCTATGTAGGATTCTCAATAAAGCAGGAATTAGAGTGGCATTCAAACCTACCAACTCACTCATGTAGGACAAGCTCTGTAGGTTAATGGACCCTGTAGGTTGACCCAATTAGACAAAATAATATAATTTACAAAATACCCTGCAATGACTGTGAGTTAAGTCAACTACACAGGTCAAACTAGTAGGTCAGGGGTAGTCATATTGTCAGAACATAAGAATTTAGCTAAGGTTAGAATGATTGACCCCACCCACAAAGATAAGTAATTCAACAAAAAGCTCAACGATTTCACTGCATGCATTAACACACAACCACACAATAGAGTTGGTGGAACAGAGTCAAAAATCTAAAGGGTAGTATAGGTGGGTGAAGATGGAGAGAGAGAGATTGACTACTGAATCCTGCCTGGTTCCTCGAGTGGTCTACACCCAATGTGTGCAAAAGGAATGACTCATCACTCATACTGGAAATATGGAAAATACTACTACCAATCAAGTCAAGCGATGGAAAATAATGATAGAATTATATAAACGAAGTTAGAAAGTTGTGTGAGCAGTGCCTTGATATGATAACGATGAGCAGCAATAAATCGTGCTCGAAATGTGTTCATCAGTAAATATCCATGTATAACAACACTGTGAGACTTTATCAAAATAAATTTTACCGACAATGGAATTATACTCTACCAACATCCAATGCACAAGTTCTATTCTTATATCACAAGAACCACCACTAGAGCGACAGAGACCAATTGTTATTCGAAATCCTAAATCACGAATCGGTAGGAGTTAGAATTCATGTGCTGGCCATTGAATTGGTTCCCAATAGCTGAATGTTACATGAGCTTACTGGCCTTGAAACCGGAAAGTCATGAGACCGAACCCTTGGTGGTGGTGGGTGCGTACTGCCGATGATTCCCAAGCACTAGGATGAAACAGCTGACTGTCCAGTACTCCCTGTGGCTGGTTTTCAATAGTTCTCTAACTGATATTCCCAATCCATGATCGACTCGTCACAAGCAAATTTAATCCTTACAAACCAACTATTGAAAATCCGCACTTTTGTGGACAAGTCAACGTTTGGTTGCCGACGCTACATCAGGATGCCTTACGATTAACCGAAGCACTGACATCAACAAAAACAAACAAATACGCAGATTTCAATATAGAAAATATCCCCATTTCGACATTTGGAAAACAGAAAGATTGAGCGAAGAAATATTTACTTTTCAATTAGATCCTCATCTCAGTCTGGCTCTACTCTAATATATATAGCATTTTTATGACAATACACAACAGTTTACCAATCATCAAGTGGCACTGATATGTTTGTTAACAATAATTAAAGTGTCAAAATCAATGACAGTATCTCATTCCTAGACGTCTTCGTGGCAAGGAAAGAAGATGGCACACTAAGAAGGAGTGTGTATAGGAAACCTACAACAGCAGGTCAGAACACTCATTTTTTCAGTTTTGTACCTTTGAAATATAAACGTAACCTGGTAAAGTGTCTGGTTCATAGAGCTAGGTTAATCTGTTCAGACGTCTGCCTCGATGAGGAGCCTCCGATTATTAGAGAATTACTTAGAAAAAATGGTTATCCAGATAAATTCATTGAGAAAAATATGAATTCAGCACCAAGGAAAGTCAGTATGGCTACAGTTCCGAAAAAACCAATGTTCATAAAATTGCAGTTCCTCGGTGACAACATCAGCGAAATAATAACACAGAGCCTGATGAATGCAGTTAAATGAGCTTATTATGCAGCAGAGGTACGTTGTCTCTTCACAACCACCCCTATTCTACGTTGGGCGTATTTCCGAACATCATCCAACATGGTTAAGCAAGGGACAAACAAGATCTATTCGTAGCTAGATCTACTTTAGCACACCTTGTAGACACCTGGTGAGCACAAGGTTGACGTTAATACAGCATTTAAAATTATTTATAGCATTCCGACTAATCTTAATTTTGCTCTGCGAGTTCGTCTTCTACAGACAGCTGAAGCAATCGGAATCCACAGGAAGAAGCCAAGCCTATGTGTGTATTCAGAAGAAATTTGTACAGCCACTTTCCTTACCGTGGCCATTGTTACAAGAATGCATAAACCGGACTACGTCGCCCCCTCCCCCTAAACCTATAAAAATTATAGTTGTCCAAATTATTTTATTTTTATTTATTTTGACCACTTCATCTTTAATTAAGTGTTATCCTTGTAAAATTAATTTATTCTAACCATTTCTACCTTTTAATTGTGTGTGTATTGATTTTCTTCGTTAATTATCACCCCACTGCTTGACATGTTGACACTGACTGACTAATTATTGTTAACAAACATATCAGTGCCACTTGATGATTGGTAAACTGTTGTGTATTGTAATAAAACTGCTATAGAGAATATATTAAAGTAGAGCCAGAGTGAGATAAGGGAGAATCTAATTGAAAAGTAAATATTTCTTCGCTCAATCTTTCTGTTTTCTAAAATTGATTTTGACAATATTGAAATCATCATCCAGAAAAATTTCAAAAGTCACAAAGAACGTCTAATATCATCAGAAGCACTTCATATTAAATGAAATCCAAATTGTCTGAATAGGAATGATGGACTGGAACAGAGTTTCACCTGGTTACAACACCCTACCCCACTTCCCATGAAACGACAAAATCAACACGAATGTGATAAACAATTCCATTATGTAAACACACGCTGTTTTATAATTTCACACACTTATCAAATCCAACAATAATCTACACCTGGTTTGTTATCTTTACCGATTGGCCAACTTGACAACAACGTAAAAATGATCCCATATTGAGGAACGGTGATTAAGTTGTTGCATAACATAAGCTGAGTGGATTTTGTAAATTCTGATTATAAAAATACTTTGATAGAGCTATTAGCAGCAGCATTAAATAACGAAACGTCAGTAAAAGCAGCAGCAACATCGTTTTGCCCTTTTTCATTCATTGGAAAATACAAAAAACAACCTTTATTATAAATGTTGAAATTTGTTCAAATTCTATTGAGATATTGTCAATATACTACACGAATTCAATCTTTTCAAATTATTGCAGTATTGATTAACCAGTTTACTTTGATCTCCCTTTCTTTTTTACAATAACGTATAAAACTAGGCGTCCGTTGCACCGCCGAAAGAATCCTTGATACAATATGTTACCAGTGCATATTCACGTTTGGAGAACACCTATTCAGTTAATCGTAAAATAAATTACCTTGTCTGTATATTTAATTCTATACGTAAAAATGTAAGTCACCTATTATAATTACATTATTACTACACACATTGTATAGACTACCAATAGGATGAATATACTCTTGAAGGTCACCAAAGCTTTCACTGATTGGTGGATTTAAGTTTTTACTGATACATTAGCGCCAATCAGATAACTATATAGTCTTTGTTCAAGGTCATGTTTTCAATATTTTCCTTCTTATGCGGTGGGGGATTATAAATGTATTTTGGTGATAATAGTGTATGCTTCTTAATATGTTGGCTTCATCACAATTTCAATATATACTTGCATAACTGTTTAATAATGCTCCAGAGGAAACTTGAACCCATTATTGTAATAATAGAACATTGGGTCAAGTTAAATTTTAAGAACCAATGACTACCAATGGGGTGCGGCCTCACCAATAACCTTGAAACGCCCACTGAGCAAACTAGTGAAACCTGCCAAATAATGTTGTCATCATCAATAAAATATCCTTATCGATGTGTTATGCTATTAAATGGGATATCTGGCAAGTTTTAGCTTAGGTTTGGGAAAGATTAACTTACGCCTTAAGTCAAGAACAAGTTAGAGCTAGGTTAACCTAATAAAGGCGACATTAGGTTTGGTTCAAGTTAGATTACAGTTAGTTTAGGGATATTTTCACGTTAGGGTTACGTTCAAGAAAGATTGAGGTTATTGCAAGGGTTAGAAGACCTAAATAATTACATGCATGGAATGTGGTTAAATTACTCTGTCGATATAAGAATAGAACTTGTACACTGTGGTGGCAAAGTATAATTCAATTGTTGGTAACATTTTTTTTTGATAAAGTTTCACAGTGTTATACAGTAATATTTGCTGATGACCACGTTTCGAGCACAATATATTGCTCAATAAATATTACTGTATAACTGTACACTATGAGACTTTATCAAAATAAATTTTACTCACAATGGAATTATACTCTGTTGATACTTGAACCAAAAACTAAGAGCTATTTCCATCACATATGAGAGGAAGGTATCCTCCGTAACACATTTCTACAGTTTTTATGCATTTTTTCTTCATAAATATATGTATTCCATACAAAAAAATGCCTCCTTCACGTGATTGGTTTGTTCGAGGTCATTCGCTGATTGGTAGTTAGTGGTGCTTAAAGATTAACTTTGCCGAACATTATTATTGCCGAAACTACGGGATTTCTCTAAAGTATGGCACTATATTATTATGTAAAATAATGAACATAATATACAAACCCCAAACTGTGAGGTGCTTGTGATTGAATGCCATCAGATAGACTGTCACTGTGTGACGAACGATCTACAGTCAGAATAAACAGCGTGTGGATGCCTAGATAAGGAATAAAGCGATTGGAATACAGTAAGTTCAACACAAAGTGGAATCCTCAAACTACTGAACTTCTGTGCTAAGTTCTATGTAGAAATTTGATCAGTCAGACAGTTTAGCTAAGCTAGTTGTGATTGGTTGCTTAAGATCAGGCTTGAAACTTTGCCTCCAATCATATTTCGTTAAGAATGACTGCCCCCAACAGTCAAAGGGTTAAACCTGTTTTATTTCGGTTTTACCCCGTGAAAACATAGTTATTTCAAGATTGGTTGGAGGATTTCATCATGAGCTGACATCACCTAGAGAACCATTGGAAAACCAGCCAGGGAGTACTGCCAGACAGCTGTTTCATCAGCCTAGTTTGTGACTCTTTAGGAGTATGCGTGAGTCACTTCAATGGGGATAGGATCCACGACCTTCAAGTTATGAGGTGGACCAAAGGAATGGAATTCATTGGCCCATCGAATTCTAACTTTTACCAACTCAGGGCATATAAGCGCATATATATAAGTCCAGTGTAGATTTCTTCCAAGACCTGTGCCAGTGCTGCAATAGGATGGAATCTCGCTTACCGTGCACACGGTCCGAGGTTCGATCCCCATCCGTCGCATTATTTTACCTCGCTAAACTCGAAATAAAGCCGGTAAACAGGGGAGGTTGGGTATCAGGCTAGCAACCCCATCCTGTCTGTAAAACTAAACACTGCTACCAAAAATTTGGGCACAGTAGTACAGCATAACTCCATTATGATGGATGAGATTTTAATCTGATTAATCACACAGTGTTGTGCAGTAAGTAATATTAACTGATGACCACATTTCGAGCATAAGCTATTGCCACTCATAATCATCATATCAAGTTGATATGATGTGATGATTATGGCTCTATGTTCCACTGGGAAAATGAAGGAATAAAACAGAATAACCAAACGTTTGAGTTGTGCATACACACAACTCAACCTTCATCAACAGCTGTCTTCGCTCAATACTACTCAAGATCATCAGAAGGCCTGCCAGAAGAGATCACCAGTAGAGAGGGATTTCTGGAAACGAACCAACTCAGAAAGAATCAATTGTGCAACAAATATGCAGGAAGAAATTGAAGCGGATTGGTCATACTCTCAGAAGACAAACCATCAATTGACATCACACGCCAGGATAGGATATCACTTGAGTGGAACCCGAATGAAAGGTGGCGGGTTAGTCGTCACGTCAGTGTGACGAGGAGGAGGTGATGTGAAGAGGAGATGAAAGCATGTGGGCAGATGCAGAGCCATATGAAAACGTTGGCGGGCGGAGAACCGAACTCAGTGGAGATGTGAGGCTGAAGCCCTATATTTCTCTAGGGACGAAAGAAAGCAACAAAACAATAATAATGCACAACTAGAGTTGTGCATAAAATCCCAAAATACGGGATTTCTCTAAAGTACGGCACTATATTATTATGTAAAATAATGAACATAATATACAAACCCCAAACTGTGAGGTGCTTGTGATTGAATGCCATCAGATAGACAGACTGTCACTGTGTGACGAACGATCTACAGTCAGATTAAACAGCACGTGAATGCCTAGATAAGGAAAGGAATAAAGGGATTAGAATAAATTAAGTTCAACACAATGTGGAATCTTTAAATATTCCCATTATTCATATTAGAACAAGACATATAAGAGAATAATATTATTGTTTTCAGTTAGATCCTCTTCAGGCTTTACTCTAATTTACATCGATTTATATATAACAAATTTAACCAATGACGGTGAATTTGTGGATGTGGATCAAACAGTAATGATAGTGTGGTACATTTAATTGAATTTTAGATTTTCGCGTCGATTGATTGGACCAAAAGTGCTCAGTTTCAGATTGGCATATCGGCTTCTTGTGCAGATGCTTCGACGATGTCTGGGTATGTATTTAGAAGTTAAGTGGTGGATGGTGATTAGCAGTGGAATCTAGCCAGGATGCGCAATTCGTCCTACCTGGGACTCGTCAGCCAACTGGATGTACCTGCAGAAGAACAAGAAGCCGACATGTCAACCTGAGACCGAACACTTCGGTCCAATCAATGGACGGAAAAATCTGAAACTCAATTCAATAATCAATATGACCCGTCGCACAAGAGGTGGGTGGCTCCCATGGCTGAAGTGTCCTAGTGGATAACACTTTAGCATTTGGAGCTGTGGGCACTGGGTTCTAGCCTCCGTGGGGACAAAATCACTCACTGGGGACTTCAGGTACACATCCGCTGGCTGATGGATGAATCCCAAATAGGATGAAATACGCATCCTAGATTCCACTGCTAATCTAATCACCATCCGCCAAGTAACTTATCATGTGGCAAATCTTCCGAACGTCAGTAATAACGGTCGGTGATTACAATGATAACAAAATATTGATAATAAGGTTTCTGCACTGCAGATGAGGTGATAAGAATAACAAAGGTAGTGAGTGAGTGAGTGATATGTGTATACGTAGACAATTCAATCAATAAATAATTTATGTCAAATCTTAAGAGTTACGTAATACCAAAGGTATAGTGGACAGATTATCAGAGTTTAAATCAATATCATAAAAGTACGAAGGAAATGGAAAATAAGAAAGGGAGGAAGGGTTTTGATTAGAATTTAACTAGGCAAGCAAGGGAGAGACAAAGGTATAACAAACTTCTTTAGCTGTCTGCAAAGACGAGGATTGTTCTCTCGAATTAATTCCCATAGCTTAAGCTATGTGTGGACACGGCGGGTTCAAATTCCATTTGAAAGCCTCGATAGAATGCAACAGATAACTGTGAAGGCACTATTTCTGTCCACTTGGTGACCGCTATCAATCAAATGAGACAAAATAGAACTTCGTCTAGATTTCACTTCGCCTCTCCCGAATCATGAAGGTAGATGCTCAGTAATGATGCGTCTGTTGAGCTGTCTAGTATTTCGCCGTATATAGTTTTCTCCACAGAAGCAGCTAAATTTGTAAATGTACTTAAATGTGCTAAGTGGAATATAAACAAAGCATTCAAAAGCACATATCATCTAAGTATTCTAAGATAATTACCATAGAATACTAATTCCTTAAATGAGATAAACTTCAATAGCAATCAACAGTGATGGTTACGGAGTGAAAACATAGTTAACAAATATTTATGTATATACTTACACTACTAACTAGTAATAAGTAGTATAAATTTAAACACAAAGGAATGATAATAGTCTCCAAGCTCGACTGGTAACCAGAAGGTCCTGGGTTTGAACCCCTCGCGGTGGGTGCCTACCAATAAAGAGTATCAAACTAGGATGAAACAGCTGTCCAGTACTCTCTGAAGGGTTTCCCAGTGGTTGTCTAACTGATATCAGCTCATGATGAAATCCTCTAACCAATCAAGAAAATCCCTATAATAGTAAGACTTGAAAAAAAGAATTAACATCCACCGATTGTAAGTGTTATGGATGAATATTTTTCGTCACCTCTATCTAGGTGACTGACTGACTAGTGTCCAATGAAAGATATTAAGGTGTTTATGTAGTTCCCCGTATCATCCAGGTATCGATCTATGGCGCTGCTAAACGAATCTGAACCTGTATGCTACAGCCTCATGACATGATGTTCGGTACTTTCATCTTGTTAAACTTTGTTTGGCTTAGAAATATTGAGGAAAGGTGTAGAGTGTTAGGGTAGTAAATAGGGAA